GTAGCCCCAGCTGTCCTGGAACTCACTATGTAGACCAGGCTGGCCTCAAACTCACAAAGATCCGCTTGCCTCTGCCTCCCAAGTGCTGGGATTAAAGGCAGCCCCTGTTTTTAATATCTTAAAATTTTATATGTATGTGCATTTGCTTATATGTATATATGTGCACCCTGTGAGTGCCTTGGACCCAGAGGCCCCTAGGCCAGAAGAGGGCATTGGAAATCCCAGAACTGGAGTTACAGAAGACCATTATTAGCCTCCATATGGGAGGTGAGATTCCTCAGTTCTCTGGAAGAGCAACCAGTACCTCTTAACCAACAAGCCGTCTCCCCAGCCCCACTCTTTTTTAAGACTGGGTCTCTGTACCTGTAGTTCACTGATTTGCTAGACTGAGTTGTCAGAGAGCCCAAGGGATCCTTTCTGTCTCTGCCTCCCCTATGCTGAGATTACAGGCTTATGTTGTGCCTGGCTTTTTGCTTATTATATGAAAAACTTTTGTGTGTGTGTGGTGCTCAGGATTGAGTCCAGATTGTGAAGGGTACCAGATAAGCATTCTCCACTAAGCTAAGTTACTAGCCCTCAGAAATCTTATTTGATTCCAGATTTATCTAAGCATTTCCAGTGACCCAGAAAGTTTGAATTTCAGTTGTTTATTACCTGTACAACATTTGATTAATTAGGAGTAACAATAATGTTCCAGTGATGTAATTAAACCACCAGGTAGTCAGGCACATTCAAGCTAATAATAAGATTGATGGGTTGCATCCTGCTAAGGATTTTTACTGATCTTGTATAAGATAGCATTTTCCCAGCATTCAGTGTGATGAGCCTGGAGTATCACCTGAGTTCAAGGCCAGCTGTTATAGTTTGCTTTCCATTGCTGTGATAAAACACTGTCCAAAGCCAAGGAGGGAAGGATTTATTTTATCTTACAAGTCCCTTGAGGGAAGCCAAGACAGGAACCTGGGGGCAGGAGCAGAGACCATGGAGGAATCCTGCTCACTATTGGCTTTCTTTCTCTAGCTTGTTCACTTACAGGTTTTGGTGGGGAGGGGTTCTGTTTTTGAGACAGGGAGACTCTGTAGTCCCAGCTGGCCTCTGCCTCCTGAATACTGAGACTAAGCTCAGTTATTTTTATTTTATGTGTACCAATGCTTTGCCTGCATGTATACCTGTGCATGCAATGCCCATGGAGGCCTGAAGAGGGCATATCTCCTGTGACATTGGTAGCTGTCATCTGGGTGGGCGCTGGGAACAGAACCTGAGCCCTCAGTGCTCTTAACCACCGAGCCATCTCTCCAGTCCCTATAATTGTTTTTTACTAAAATATTCCAGATAGGCAATTTTTTTCATGTAAATCGAATCTGGACAGTTACAGTTTTACAGAATTGTATGCTTGGGCCCCATACCTGTTGGGTTCTTACTAGCTCTGCTGGTCTTCTACCACAGAAGCATTGAACAATATAATCTAGCTCCCTGATGGCTGTTTTTTAAGGTAGCTGGTGGCAAAATATCTCCAGATTGTTTTCTTGTTAAGGCAAGCCCCACTTCTGTAAAGGGCTTTGCATTGCAGAATCTTAAAAGAATCCTCTTCATGGGCTGGAGAGGTGGCCAGTGGTTAAGAGCACTGGCTGCTCTTGCAGAGGTTCGATTCCTAGCATCCACATGGGGGCTAAAAACCGTCTGCAACTTCAGTGCCAGGGGAATTTGCCCTCTTTTGACACGGGTGCCCTTGCATGCAGGAAAATCATTCATATACGTTAATTTAAAAAAAATTCCCCTTCAGGCCCAGAAATGGAGCAAGTGTAGAAACTCTTTTGTCAGATAAAAATTCATGTCAAGGGCATAATTGAGTTTAGCCCAAGATGACCAGGAACATGATTTTCCTGCCATCAGATTTATTTTTATATATTTTATGTGTGACTGTATGCTATCTATGTATGGTGTTCAGAGGCCAGAAGAAGGCATTACATGCCCTGGAGGTGGAGTTCTAGCAGTTAATTATGGGCCATCTGATCAGAGTAGTAGGAACTGAGCTTGGATCCTCTGGAATAGCAGGAAGCACTCAACTGATGCCCCATCGCCTCCAGCTTCTATTTTTATATTTTTAAATGTAAATATCAGGAGGCAATGTGTTGTTGAATAAATACACATCAAGAAGATCAGATTTGAGTTTAACCTTTGAAATTTATTTTATGTGTGTGAATGTATTGCCTGCATTTAAGTGCTCCCATGTTATGCAATACATAATCAGAAGAGGGAGTCCCCTGGAACTGGAGTTACAGATGGTTGTTCGTCATTACGTGGATGCTGGGAATTGAACCCAGATCTTCTGGAAGAGCAGTCAGTGTTCTCAATTGATGAGCCATCTCTCCAGCCCTTCTGCTTTTTTTGTTGTTAGAGGTAAGGTCTCATTTAGCTTAGGCTGACTCCTGAATTCACTATTCAGGTTAGCCCAGAACCACAAGTATAGGCACTGGAACATATATGGCCACTGGCAGGAGACATTCCTAACAGTGATCAAGCACCTCATTCTGCCTATGGATTTGATACTGGTAGTTAGTGCTGTTCTGGTTTTCATTAATGCACCTATTGGCTGAGATGAGCTTTGCCTTTATTTATTAATTTTGCAGAACTGTACACTCAAAAATTTACCTAGGTTAACAAGTGTAACTGCATGGCTCTGAGCATATGGGTCACACAGGTAATATATTGATTTGAAATACCTCATCATATCACAACATGCCACTTTACTAGAGTAGAAAATGTTACATGCTTTTAGTCCCAGTACTTGGGAGGTAGATGCAGGTGGATCTGTGAGCTCAAGATCAGCCTCTTTGTTCTACATGGCAAGTTCCAGGTCAGGTGGGATTACAGGGAAACCCTCTTTCAAACACCCTCCTGTCCAAAAAATAAAATTAGATTCACATCCAACAGAGGAGGTTCAGTCTGTAGTAGCTATGGGAAACACGCTAAGTGTCTTGAGTTGCTGACTGATATTGTACAATGGCCAAGATGCTGGCAAAATGGTCTAGCACATAGAGCCAGTGACATGACCGTCTGCCAAGCCTGACAACCTGCATTCCATCCCTACATGACGGAAGGAGAGAACTGACTCTTGGTCGTTGTCCTCTGACTTCCCCAAATCCACAAACATGGGGATAAAGGAAAATAACCTATGGGAGCATTAGTTAAGTGATGTAATACAGACAAAAAACGATCAATGCTTTCTACATGTTTTCAAACCTTACAGTACGTGGTTGTGTTTCTACCCATCTCATGGTTACCTTGTTCACCACAGAGGTTCTTAGAGATAGTGTGTGCTTGTGTGTTTGCATTGGATGATTTGGCTTTGTTATGATTCATTGATTTTTGGTACAAATGTTTAACAAAAAGCTGAATAAGAGGATGTGTTCTTGGCATTTTCTTTCTTTCTTTCTTTCTTTTTCTTTCTTTCTTTCTTTCATTCATTCATCTTTCTTGGCTCCTTCCTTCCTTCCTTCCTTCCTTCCTTCCTTCCTTCCTTCCTTCCTTCCTTCCTTCCAACAGGGTCTCCCTGGTACCCCAGATGTCCTGGAACTGGCTATTTTACATTTTACAGAGATCCACCTGCCTCTGCCTCCCAAGTGCTGGGACTAAAGGCATGTGCCATCTTGCCCAGCTTGCCTGATGGTAGTGGGTTATCAATTCCAGCATTAGTGAATGTAACTTTTAGAAAGTAACATTTTCTACACTGATTGCTATATAGGCCAGGCTGGCCTTGAACTCACAGATCCGCATGCCTCCTGAGTGCTGGGATTAAAGCCACCCCAGCTGTAGTTTTATGTCTTGCTCTAACCAAAGTTAGCAGCTTTCAGCTAGAGTTCTATGTGTTCTGCCATATTTGACTCTAGTTGAAAGTTAGGGTTGGGAAAGTCAGGGCTACACAGTAAAACCTTGTTTCAAAAAATAAATAAAACAACAAAATTTGTGTGGAAAATGATTTGGGGTGTTGTGCAAGATAGATTGAAAGCTGGGACCCAAGGTGTATGAGTTCAATTGGTAGGGCACTTGTTTAGCATGCATGAGGCCCTGGGTTGCATCTCCAGTACCAATAAATATTTGGGTAAATAAATAAATGCAAAAACAAGTCATGTTAGACTTCAGGATCCAACAAGGAAAGAGCGTTTCCGTGGCATCCTGAAAGATGAGGAACCGAGTGAGGGTGATGAAACGCAGGCCTTCCGGACCTCACTCTGTTCCCAGTTTCTGGTTGTGGGAATCTGTTCTCAATCCAACTGCAAGTAGAAAACCTTTTTGGCTGTGCGGCCAGGCAGGCAGTCCTGCCAATCCTCCCAACGCACTGCTGAAACTTCGGCCCCAGGAGGCTGGAGCATGGGCTGGCTTCCCAAGATCTGTGCAGCTGTCAAGGTGGCTGTGATGAGATGGTGTCCGCCCCTGCACAGTTTTTTGGCAGTGACCTTGAGACCAGCCCAGCTCACCACAGCTACTCTGGTCCTCTGCCACTGGAGCCTTTGCGGCTGTTATAGCTAACGCCAGGGAGGCTAACCCGAGAGAGATTGCGCTGTTCCGGCTTTTCTTGGTGTCTGGCAGGTGTCCTTCTTGGTGCCAGTTTTCACTCAGTGCCTACCACCCGCTGAGTATGGGCACAATCCAGGTTTGTGTGGGGGGAGCTGTTGGAGTATTCCACCACTGGCTTAGGTCCGGCACCTGGGGAAGTGGGTGGTTGACCACCAAACTGGTGTACAGCAGGCAGACTCAACATGGGAAACACCACCCACCCACCCCTCGCTCCCATCGCTGGATGGCTCACAGAAAAGAGGCTCAGTGACAGTTGGTGATCTTAGGAGACAGGAGCCAGAGATGCCCTCTTATCCGAAAGGTTTAAATTGGAGACTGCCTTCTGGAAAAGGATAGAATTTTTTGGGCAGTGAAGGTCACCAGCTCAGTGCCTTTATTGTAGACCGTGTCAAGTGCATTTTGAAAGCTCCACCCCCTCTCCTGTCCTCATTCAGTCCTTTTTCTTCCAAGTATCTCATTATGTTTTAATCTGCCGTTGTCATTGGGCATTTATTGACAGAAATCAAATGACAGAAATCAAATCGCTGCTGTTTCTGGGCCAAGCGCCGGCTGCGGAGAGGTGTGGTTCCCAGGAATGAGACACGCAGCCCAACAGCTGAGCCTACCCTGTCCTCAAATAACCTCCCTGCCTTAAATATCGACAATATTTAGCCTTGCCTTATAAAGTCAAAATGCACAATACCTTCCAGAGTAGAAGCCAGCTCCGGTGCCCCCCTAGGCTCAGTGCTATCTCTTGCTCCAGGGCTGCAGCAGCCCGCCCCTCCCCCGCGCAGACCTGCCCTGGGTGCCACCCAGAGGTTACCGACCGGGGAGACTCCGCCATCGATCCGATGGTGGGGACCTTGGGGATTTTCCTGCATTGTCTGTTTCTGAAGGCTCCTGTAATTTCGGTGGCCGCGACCAGATCCTCTGCCGAGAACTCCATGTCACAGCTTGTGGCTGCCTGTGTCCTGTGGTGAGCCCAGCCGCACAGGAGATCCTTTGTCTAGGATAGAGCGAGGCTGGGAAGATCACTTTGGAGTTGCTAAGCTCTGCCTTGCCATTGGCTGCACTCTTTGTGGGGCTGTTTTTGCAAAAGGCATGCCCAGCACGTCTACAGTGCTGGCAGGCCAGGGCTGCCTTTAAACACCATGATAATAATACCAAAAGCAGTTTGCAGAACTGCTCTCTGTAGAGGCTTCCTCTGCAGAAACAAGCAAGATGGCTACCTCGTGGGCTTCGTTCGCTATGAAGAATACAGACGCTAATTAAGACAGACTTTTAAGGGAAAAAAGGGTATTTCCCTCCATCTTTATTTATGCAAGTTTTTTTTATCAGTGACTTTTAAAGTATACATTTTACATAACCTCCTTAAGGTCTGCCTGGCAAACATGAAGATGTTCTTAAACGGTATAAGTAGTTTTTATAGAGAATTAGCAAAAATAAATTTTGGAAGGGTGGGAGCTATTTTTCTTAAATGGAAGCTTATTTTCCAATTTTTTTTTTTTTTTTTTTTAGGTTATAAAAGAAAACAAGAGGCCCAAGAGGGAAAAGAAGCCCAAAGTTTTAAAGGTAATCAGCTGTTGATTGATATTTATATTTTTTTCTCCATTTCATGCAGTACTTTTCTGTCACCTGAGAATAAATTTTCATTACAGAGGATGCAAATTCTCCCAGGCTGTCACTGGATACATGAATTTTTCACTCAACCAAAGAGGAGTCTCTCTCTCTCACTCTCTCTCTCTCTCTCTCTCTCTCTCTCTCTAATGTACATATTAGCATCGTTTATTTTCAACTTCACAAAAGTCTTGTAGAAAAAGAAAGTTTATATGCAAAAGTGTTGTGAGTAAAATTCCTTTCCCCCTTTGTGCATCTGTGTTGCACCAGACTAGGCTTCAGCTCCACAAGAGAGAAGGTGACAGCTAGGATTCATTGTGATCTTTTAAATGCATCCCATTAAATATTTTTATAAAACCTGTGATTTTTCCCAAAGAGGAAAAGAAAAAAGGTCCTTAGAGTTTCAGATTTGTAAGTCACTGAGCTCTTCCAGCCAAACTATAATTGCTCAGTCTGAAATGCTTACTGTTTTATCTTTGGTTTTGACATCCATAGATTTTTAGGCAACATGTTTTTCTTGTACAGATTGCCTGCTGAGGAATTATTAGTAACCTGATTTGGTTATTAGCTAGGAAACTGTTTCAGTTTTGTGACACTAGTGTTAGAAGTGTTAATTTAAAAACCTATAGCCTCAATAGAAGTTCAAGTTTAGCCTTAGCATAGGCATTAGATGCTCCTGGGTTTAAGATTCCAAGAGGTATACCAGTATATTTATAACAATAAAGCAGTCTGTAATGTAAAAATATTTAAATATAATCATGGTTTAGTGTCTGCAAATAAAGTTTTTGCCCTTAAAGAAGAACAACATGTTGAACTATGACTGTCAATGTGACAGAATTTTGATCTCATTTGTTCCCCTGGTTGTGTAACTTGGGAAATGTTGACACTGAGAACCAAATTTTGCATTGCCCAGAAGCAAACCTTGCATTGCTTTCTGACTTGACCGACCACCTTGAGTTTTCTGTGTCCTGTGTGTACACTGCATCAACATGGACTTTTTTTTTGTCTCTTTGAAGCAGGGTCTCCCTGTAGCCCCAGTTGGCCTTGAACTCACAGAGATCTACCTGCCTCTGCCTCCCAAGTGCTGGGACTACAGGTGTGCACCACCATGCCCGGCAACATGGACATTTTTAATCAATCAAGTAATTACTGGATATTAACCACATAGCAATGTGGCAGGCAGGCTGTGAAATGAAAGGAATTGCTTGGCATAAATTTTCATGCATCCTGGACATAGAGAATAGGGGTTATATATTAAACCATCTTTTTATCTTCATTTGCTCTATCCACACCTAACACCTCACCTAACCGCCACCCAACTATAGACATGTATCATTAAAAGCCCAACGTGTATGTCCTTCTATACTGCTGTTTTTTGTATATTCATTTCAAGTGAGAATGTTTGTTAATGGGGTATGGGGTATGGTGGTTCACATCTGTAATCCCAGAAGATGGAAACAAGAGGATTAGGAGTACAGCCTGAGCTATTTAGGGAGTCCAAGGCTAGCCTGGTGTGCTGGATAGCTTTAGTTGTCAACTTGACACACCTGGATAGAGGGAGCCTCAATTGGGGAATTGCCTCCATTGGGCTGGTGTGTGACCATGTCTGTGGGGCATTTTCTCGATTTTTGAGTGATGTGAAAGGACCCATACCTGGGCAGATTTTTATGCATTGTATAAGAAAACAGTTTGAGGGGCTCAGCTGTTAAGAACACTTGGCTGTTCTTCCAGAAGACCCGGGTTCGATTCCCAGCACCCACATAGCAGTTAACTCTGTAACTCCAGTTCCAGGGGATCTGACACCCTCTTCTGGCCTCTGAAGTCTTTGCATGACACAGGTGCACTTACATACATGTAGATAATACACTCATACATAAAATAGAAATAATAATAATGATAATAATAATAATAATAATAATAATAATAATAATAAAGAATTCTGAAAGGTAATAAAAAGAAAGCAGGCTGAGCAGGGGTCAGGGGAGCAAGCCAGTAAGCAGCATTCCTCCATTGCCTGTGCTTCAGCTCCTGCCTCCAGATTACTGTCTTGAGTTCTACCTTGGGCTCCCTGACCCTGAAGATGTAAGCCAGATAAATTCTTTCCTTCCCAAGTTGGTATTGATCAGAGTATTTTGTCACAGCAGTGGAGAAACAAACTAGAACACCTAGGTTACTTGAGAACCCTGTCTTAAAACCAAAAGGACAATTTTAATCTTCTGATGTAAAAGCTATTAAATAGGTAGATGTGTGTGTGTGTGTGTGTGTGTGTGTGTGTGTGTGTACACGTACGTGTGTACAGAAGACCAGCTACACACAGAAATAAGGCTGGCACCTGAGCCTTCTCTCCCTTTTGATGGGAAATAGAATGGCTTTAATTAACTTGAATATTAGTTAATTAATTCTATGTTAGCTAGTCTGTGAGTGCTCTGTAACCTAAAATAAGTTTCAGAAGTGAATATCTCGTGTTTTTTATTTTTGATCTTTTAGGACTTTTTTTTTTGTTTGTTTGTTTGGCGGGGACGGTTGAGACAGGGTCTCACCATGTAGCCCCAGGGTGGCCTGGATCGTGAATGGACATCATGAACCATTAGGTTTGACCAAAATAAACATATTTAATGTTTATTTTTAAATTATTTTATGTGTATAAGTGTTTGCCTGCTTGTATGTAAATGTATCCAAATTGTGCAATGCCCAAGGAAGTCAGAAGAGGGCATCGGAGTCCCTGGAACTGGAGGTGCAGTTGCCAGATGGCCAGCAGCTACCATGCAGGCACTGGGAATTGACCCTGGGTCCTCTGCAAGAGCAACCAGACGCCTGAGCCATCTCTACATCCCCTTAATTTTTTTTTTTTTAAACTGGGCTTTAATCCCAACACTGGAAAGGCAGACAATGGTAGATGTGTAAGAGGCCAGCTTGGTCTACATAGCAAATTCCAGGCCAGCTGGAGCCAAAGGGAGACCCGGGAGGTTGGATCCCCTGGAACTGGAGTTAAAGATGGTTGATAGCCACCATATAGGTGTTGGGGTTTGAACCCCGGTCCTCTTCAAGAGCCAGCTCTCCAGCCCTAACAATTTCTTTTTTTTTTTTTGTCTTTTTGAGACAGGGTCTCCTTGTAGCCCCAGCTGATTAAAGGTGTGTGCCACCAGGCCCCGCATTTTTTTTTTTTTTTAATTTGTTATGTATCTGAGTTTTTGCCTGCATGTATAAAAGTGTACCCATGTCATGCACTGACCCTGGAGGCTAGAAGAAGACATCAGATTCCTTGAAGCTGAAGTTAAAAATGGTTGTTAGGCACCATGTGGTGCTGGGAACTGCCAGAGCAGCCAGTGCTCTTAACCTGAGTCATTTGACAATTTCATACGAATGTATAGTGAATTTGATTCTATCAAACACACACACACATACACACAAACACAGAGAGAGAGTGAGAGTGAGAGCAAGAGAGCTTTGTTCTCTACAGCAGAGATAGAACATTCAATTAGAGGGAATGCAGATCCTCATCACAGTTTTGTAGGAGGTGGGAGTGGAACACTGTCATTGGGAATACAGGATTCTTAGACTCTTGGGGAGTGTATTTTAGAGACAGGCTCTCAAACCGTACCTCACCCTAGCATTGATCTCTTGGTGATTTTTTTCCTCCAGTGCTGAGTGCCAGAATTATAGTCATGAGCCACCATGCCTAGAATATTGACTAAGGTATGGGCTTTCAAATGATTCCATTGGGAATTAATTTCTTTGTGGAGCAAAGTATATGTTGGTATTTGTATTTTGTATGTGTTGCTGGAGACAATCAAAGCTAAGGTCAGTGACTGCCTGGCAAACATTAGGTGGCACAGTCAAATCAAGGAAGGCAAAGAGCTATTGTCATTCTAAACCTGAGGCAGCCAGGAGGGGTGCTGGGAGCTCTGGAGTAGTTGGAGTGAGCAAAGGGGACAGGAAGGGACTTTTGCTTGCCCTTTGTTAGAGTGGCAAATGCCCTTTTCTCCTGCTGCTTTCATTGGCCAACCCCATTAGGATGCCAGAGAAGAAAAGGCAGTTTTCTGGTGAACCCCATCCTCCAGAGTGGAGAAGGTAGAGAAGGTGGAGTGTGGGCCTCTACCACCCCTTACCAGGCAAAGCCAGGCATTGTGGTGCTCTTATGGTGCTCACTTGTGCTACCAGTCTTGGGAATCAAGGCCTGTGCCATCATGGCAAAACCTGGACTTGGAATGTAGAGATGAGAATTTCCAAGTCCAAGGCCAACCTGATTAGAAGAAAATAACACTAACAACAAACCAGGAAATAAGCAGACATTACCCAATGCAAGTCATTAGTACCCAGTATAGGTCATTACTGCAGGGCAGAATGTAGAGTCAAAGTGAACCCACTCCCCTCTTAGGTCATGTAAGCAGTAGGACACAGGAGGGTGGAGACTTGGAAGGTAGGATGGGAGGGTAAGAAGAAATTAGGGGGGAAAATGATCTCTGTGTATGTGTGTGTGTGTGTGTGTGTGTGTGTGAGAGAGAGAGAGAGAGAGAGAGAGAGAGTATTTTATATATATATTTCATATATGAGATAGTGAAATTGGTTTAAAAATATCAGAGCTCAGAAGATGAAAATGGTAGCATAGGTGAGGCTGGGTGAGGGGTGTATAAAAAGCCAATGCTAAACCATCTCAAAGCAAAGTGGAAATTCTTAGGAGGGTAACATACATTCTTCAGTTAGATTCTCTTTCTTGGTTGCCAAGGGATGTTTTCTAGTTATTTGGTTATAAAATACTATCAAAGCAGTACGTTATTTGCAAGAATTGGGTGAAAAAAATACCAAGAAATGTCAGTGGCTATTAAACCAGGAAACTGTCTGCAGAGGCTGATTTAGAAAAGAAAAAAATGAAGAGGAAGTAGTGATCTTGCAGCAGGCCCGCTGCTTCCTTCCTTGATGATGCTGATAAAGTGGAACAGTGAATGGGGGTTGGG